ATCCTGTGACTCTTAAATCCTGTTTTCCTGATAGTTGGTAGAAAGGAATAGACACAGATAGTCAGAATGATACAAGATGATTAAAGATGCATGATGAAATTAAAGATCTATTTACCCCATCCCTCAAGAAAGAAGACTCAAACTTTGCATGCACATAGTAAATGGAATCACCCCACTAATTAGATATTTGCCTAGAAAGGATGGTAACATAGTGGAAGGGAAAGGACTGAAGTCAGAGACATGGGTTTGAATACTAGCTCTGCTCCTTTCCAATTGCAAGACTCTGGCCCATCATTTAATCTCTTTGAATCTTGGTTTTTCTCCTCATTACAATAAAGGGATTAGACCAGTCTCTAAAACCCCTTCCACCTCTATATCCTGTGATCCTATAAATTCTGACTTGAATTAGACTTGATCAAATGTCCTGACAGTTTAACCTATAGGAAGGAGTCAGACTATTCTGTAGAACTAGTACGGTATTAGGAGTCTCTCTTTCTAAGGAAATTGTTTAAAAATCCTACCTGGAAGCACAATTTAAGGCTAAGGAGTCAAAGGTTAATAGTAATAGGTAAATAACAACTTTTGGGGTTGGAGCCATGATGACAGAGTAGAGAAGCATTCAGCCAAGCCCTCTCAACATTCCCTTCCAAACAACTTCAAAATAATGCCTCACATCGCATTCTGGAGAGGCAGAGCCAATACAAAGTCAGAGATTCTTCCAGCCCAAGGTAATAGAGGAGGTCAGAGAGAAAGATCTGCAACATGGGAGAGGAGGCTGGCCTAGAACTCATGTGGTTGAAATACCACTGGTGGGACTAAGTGGTAGTAACAGAAGCAGCAGCAGCTTTGGGAGCTCTGAAGTGAGAGAAAATAAGGGAACCTGACAACTGGTCAGAAAGAGATTACAGAGGGCAGCTAGATGATGCAGTGAATAGAGAACCAGCCCTGGAGTCAGGAGGACCTGAGTTCAAATCTGGCCTCAGACACTTGACACTCACTAGCTGTGTGACCCTGGGCAAGTCACTTAACCCCAATTGCCTCACTAAAAAATAAAAAATAAAAACTGAAAGAGATTACAGGGTTCCCCAGTGCTAGCACTGGACATAGGACCAGATGCTGTTTGGCAACTCCATTGCCATGCTATACCTACTTCTGAGTCATAGTTCAAGTGCAGAGAGGAGCACTTTTGGTCAGCAGAGAGTGGAAGCCCTGAGGGAGGTATTACTTCCAGCCCCAGTGGATCAAGAGACTCTGAGGAGCAGTATCAGTTATGATCCCAAGAGATCAGGGGCCTTTCCTGGGTAAGAGCCAGAGTTCAGACAAAGACAGCAGTGACACAGCCCTCCCCAGATCGTGCCACCAAAGAAGCACTGGAAACTTTCAAAACCCCAGAACTAATTCTGAAAACAGCACTATGAATAAGCCAGAAGCTTGGGACAGAGTCCCTCCTCCCTCATGCTGGGAAAAAAAACAAAACAAAACAAAACTTTAACTCCATCTCTAACATATAGCTCCATATTCAGAAATAGAGTGGGAAAATGAGGGAAACAAAAAACAAAACAAAAAACAAAACTTGACCATAAAAGGCTACTATGGTGACAGGGAAGATCAAATCACAAATTCAGAAGAAGACAATGAAGTCAAAACAGCTACAAGCAGAGCCTCAAAGAAAAATGTGAATTGAACATAAACCCAACAAGAATTCCTAGAAGAGCTAAAAAAATGATTTTCAAAATTAGGTAAGAGTGATAGAGAAAAAAAATAAAGCAAAGGAAGAAAATTATGAAAGGACAATTAACGGCTTGATAAAAGAGGCACCAAAAATACTGGGAAAAAAATAATACCTTAAAAAACAAAATTGGCCAAACTGAAAAAGAGGCGCAAAATTCATTGATGAAGATAAGTCCTTAAAAAGGCAAAACTGGCTAAATGGGAAATAAAATAGTTTTGATTACATGAAATTAAAAAGAAATCAAAGCTATCAATACTCACATTAAAAAAAAATCTCTAAATCACTGCTGAGTAGAGAAATGCAAATCAAAACGACTCAGATACTACCTCACACCTATCAGACTGGCTTACATGGCAGAAAAGGAAAATGACAAATGCTGGAGGGGATGTAAAGAAAGTGGAACACTAATGCACTGTTGGTGGAATTGTCAACCAGTCCAACCATTCTGGAGAACAATTTGGAACTATGGCCAAAGGGCTATAAAAGTGCATACCCTTTGATTCAACAATACTAGTGCTAGGTCTGTATCCCAAAAAGATAAAAGAAAAGGGAAAAGGACCTATTTGTACAAAAATATTCATAGCAGCTCTTTTTGTGGAGACAAAGAATTGGAAATTGAGAGGATGCCCATCCACTAGGGAAGGGCTAAACGAGTTTTGGCATATGATTGTGATGGAATATTATCATGTGATAAGAAATGACAAATAGGATGGTTTCAGAAAAACCTTGAGAAAACTGATATGAACTGATGCAAAGTGAAGTGAGCAGAACCAGGAGAACATTGTACTCAATAACAACAATACTGTATGATGTTCCACTATGAAAGATTTAGCTACTCTGATCAAGACAACGATCCAAGACAATTCCAAAGCACCACATGATGAAAAATGCTATCCACCTCCAGAGCGACATCTGATAAACTCAGTGCACATTGAAGCACACTTTTAAAAAACTTTATTTTTATTGTTTTATTTTGTTTGTCTTTTCTTTTGCAACAAGGCTGGTATGGAAATATGTTTGGCAGGACCTCCGATGTAACTGGAATCAAAGCACTTGCCTTCTCAAGGAAGGGGGAGGGAGGGAAAATGATTGTAAAAAAAAATTTTGACATATAATTGGAAAGTATTTAATGAAATAAAAGAAAAAGAAAAAAATAGATAAATAACACTGAGGGTTTAGGACTCTTAGTTTCTTCAAAGTGCCACAAAAGGGTTAAGAGTATTAGGACCAATGACATAAACACTACGATGCAGATAGTGACCAGCCCCTGGAAACCCAGGTGTTTGTGAAGTTGTGACAACCGGGAAATTAATAAACTTCTTGCTTCAAACAATAAGGCAGGCACAAGTAACTTCCTAGTTGAAGTAGGTCTGTAAAGTCAGGGTAGCATTTGTGAAAACAGCAGGACGAGAAAACCTATCTCCTTTCAATTAAGAAAGGTACTAAGGTTGCGTGTGTTTATGGGGTGGGGGGAGTGTAATTAGTTGGGTCAGAGTTCCAGGAACAGAGCCATCTCATTCCCCTGCAATTCCTTAATGAGCATGAATTTTATTGCAGTGCTGAGCTGCATGTAAATTAGCACTAGCTAACCATTCATTCGCTCATGTAATTAAATAATGTGTGCCTACCATGTGCAATGAATCGATTATCTTTAGCACAATCAAGTCTAAAATAATCTATAAGCAAATAAAGATTTTTATTGAAATTGTAAACTAAAACTTAAGAAAAGCCCTGATACTACATTCCTTTAGGCCAGGGGCAACAATCTTTGGGTGCTTGATAACGCAGAAAGGAGGAAAAACAATTGAATCAAGGGACCTGCATTGGATTTCTACTACTTACTACCTATTTGACCCTTTGGCAAATCTCTGGGCCTGTTTCCTCATCTACAAAATAGGGTGGGTGATGTGGAGCTCAAGAGATGATCTAGAGGTCTCTTCCCATCCTAGAGCAATGATCCAAAAACCACTTCTTGGAGATAAAGCACTCATGATCCGTCCAATTCCCATTAGTTCCTACTTGATACATTGGTGGGTCTGTGATTTAATTGGTGTGCTGGGCCCTGTTTCTAGGGAGGCAGATTGCCATGTCTTCTCATCTCCTCTGCTTCTCATCCATGTTTTCCTACAGTCCTCAGGAAGACTTTCTTTCAAATCCAGACTTATACACTTCTTAGCTGTGTGGCCCTTGGCAAATCACTTAACCTCTGTCTGCCTCAGTTTCTTCAACTGTAAAGTAGGGACAGTAATAGCACCACCTCCCAGGATTGTTGTGTGGATCAAATGCTTAGCTTGGGGGCTGACACTTAGCAAGTGCTTAACGTATATTCCTTTCCTATCCAGGGAAAACCATTCCGTCTATCTGTTTGTTTCTCATTCTTGCTCCACAACCAGCTCTTCTTTTCTGGTCATACTTGTCCTTCTTAGGGTGCACAACATGTGCTGGCCACAGATTGCAGCATACTTGCATACTAGAATACCAACTGCATGAGCGTATCAAAGGGTGGAGCACTTGACCATACACCCTTAGGGCACTGACAGGTGCTGGGAATGAAGCAGAAGCCCAGATGCCCTTGTTTCAAAGGGATTAACAGGTTGTCGAATAAGAGCTCTGATGACAGGGACCCCTTCTTGATTTCAGAGGACTGATGTCCCTCCCCTTAGCAGAGAGGTGTTGGACTATAGGTGTGAAATGAAACCTACTTTTCCAGATATGGCCAAAGTGCTGGTAAGTTCTCCTCTTGAGGCTGGATCTGTTTAACAGCATGGCTCCTTACAGACAGAGGGACCTACTACCCAATGTTCTGCGTTCTTTTTCATGCTGAATCTACTACTGGGAGTTGCCATTCTTTCCTGGCTGCACAGACAGGATGCACCAGGGGCCACACAACATTCCTTCTAATTAACAAAGGAAGAGTGATATCTGGGCTTCGTTTGGTACACTCCGCCCCCAAATCCAACTCAAAAACAGTTTATATAAAACAAGTTTTATTTACAAGAGATTATTGTATAAAATGTACAATTATGAAAAACAGTCATCAAGTGAAATAAACCTATAAAAAAGTTAGTTTCTGGGCATATATGTAATAGAAGAAACTATACAAGTATATACAACTCAATAACATATCCCAAATAGTGGGATGGCTGTACAATGCGGCCCCTCTCCCAGCAGAACGTAAGGTCCTTCCCAACAAGGCCCCCTTCCCTTTGGTCATTTAACTCCTGCAACATAGGAGATGCTTAATGAGTGCTTGCTGTTGTCTAGTCTCTTTTTCTAAGAGGAATTTTCCTCATCAGGCTGTTATGATTTAATTTTGGCAATAATGAAAAATTTGACAATAAATATTGCAACATGAATAAAAAAACTCTTAAGTGGAAAATGTGGTTCTTCTTTACAAAAAAAAAGTTCTTACCTGAAACATGCATTAAAGTTAAATAAAAATTATATCTTAATGCTACTTACATGTTAAAATAATTATTGTATTTTTCTTTACAAGTAATAATAATAAAAATCAAAGACCAATAAAAAGAGACACATGGAAATTATAAACAGAGATGTGCTTGGGCCAGTGTGTATCAGCTCATGAGAGCATTGACATCTCGAGATTGGCAAACACTACAGATTAGGGCTTGATTTACTGTTTTGTTGATTATCCAGACTTCAGAAACTTATTGAGAAAATGTCAATAATACCCATTAAACTTCAAAGTGTGTCACGTGGTTTCAGTGAGTCATTTGTTCAACATTTACCAGTGGTCTCCTGGTCACAGAGCATAGATTTAGAAGTAGAATACCTAGTACAACCCCATCATTTTACAGGTGAGAAAACTGAGGCCTAGAGAAATGAAATGACTTGCCTGGGGTTCCTCAGGGAGAAAGGGCTGGAGGAAGGATTTTAAGCCAGGTCCTTATGCCATCATTCAAAACATACCCTGGATTAGGAACCAGGAAATCGGAGTCCTAACTCTGCCTCTGACTGGTTGGGTGACTTTGTGAAATCGATTCCCTTCTCCAGGCCCCATTTTTGACATCTATGAAATGAAGGGTCTGGACAAGGTGAGCCCTAAGATTCCTCCTAGCTCTAATATTCTAAGGTAACATTTTAGGCAAGTCAATTGACAAGTAACTTCCAGCTCTAAAATTCCATAATCAACATTCAGAAGCAAAGAAATGTATCCTTAGGTAACTTAGCAGTTACTTGCGGCATCCACTGTCTCTAAATCGACGACATCTAGGCATACATTTTTTAGTCCTTTTTTCTCTCCCTCAGAATCGCTGTTAGTTCAGTTACACCTGAAGGCTGAGCAAAGGAAGAGTACAAAGGGAAACTACAGAGCCACAGATTTGTAGCCGGAAGAGTCCCTAAAGGCCATCTAGTCCAATGGTCTCCTTTTATAAAAGAGGGGACTAGGGCCCAGGAGAGGCTTAAATGACTTGACTAAAATCACACCTATTCAGTGGCAGGACTTAGATTCCAATCCAGGTCTTCTGACTCCAGCTGTTCTACCATACCGTGAAGTGTCCATTTGAATTGAATACTTGCTTTACATGGGAACACTTAAAAAACACTGGGCGTGGAGCTCCATCTGAGCTGCAGTGTGGTCCCCACTGATCATAGGACATGATGGAAAGAAACTTCTGAAATGTATAGTAGGCTCTAAGTCCTACAATGCTATTTCTTTCTGATGATATGAAAGGTGTATCAGTAAGAGGCCTTAACACTGGTTGAACTAGATGAGTAGGAGCTGGATTTCCGAGATAATTTCTTGGAAGTGAGAGACACTTGCATTCTATTCACAGTCCGAACACTTCGACAAAGAAGAGTGTTCTTGGCATGATCCCTAAAATCTTGAGAAATAAAGTAATAGACAAAGGGGTCAATACAACTGTTAAGGGTAGAGAGACAGAGAGCTGCTATGTACAGAGCATAGACATGGCTCTGGCTTCTGTTTCTAATCAGGAAATAGTGCACCACGAGCAAAGTATTACTAGGTGTGAAACAGATCAGGTACATGGCCAGCACCGTGATGATGAGTTTGATAGCTCTCCTCCTCTTTCTTTCAGAATCATCCATAGCAGAAGAACGGAGCGTCCGGATCATTAGGATGTAGACAGAGGCCGTGAGACAAGCTGGGAACAGGAAGACACCAATGGCCAGAGAGAGGAAATAATTGAACATATCTCCAGCCAGAACATCTGCAGGCAAAACGTCATGGCACGTTGTGATGTTAAGGTCCGGAATATAGACGGTCTGCCTCACAACATACAAGGGAATAGTCACCAGCAGGATCAGCAGCCATATTCCAATGGAAACCCCTATGGCAATGTTAGACAACTTCCTGGAGCGCACAATGGGATTCATGATCACCCAGTATCGCTGCACACTGAGGCAAGTCATGAAGAGAATGGAACAGTACATGTTGCCATAGAAAAAACCAATCAACACCTTGCACAAAGTTTCCCCATAAATCCAGTTGTTACCATTCAAATGATAGGCGATCTTCAAGGGAAACCAGATTACTGATAACAGATCTGCCAAGGCTAAATTGGCCATGTAAATCACAGCAGGGTGTTTCTTTTGTGTTCGGAAGAGGAAGACCCACAGAGCCATGCCATTGCTCGGCAAGCCAACCACAAATACAATTGTATAGACGATTGGAAGGAAGACGGTAGTCAGCCCTCCAGTAAGAATCTCGGCAGAAAACGGATCCACATAGAATCCTGGCTCTGTCGAAGCTCCTCCATTCCCACTGGATGAGATATTCGTTGAGGGGATCTTGTGACCAATAAGACTTCTTCCTTTGGTTTTGTTGGTTCCTGAACAAAAAAGAGAAGATAGGCATCAGTTTAAGACAAAAACACTAACTGAGAAGTTTCAGCTGGTCGCTTCAACTAGAAGCATTGGAGATCACATGGTAAAAAGACTGAGGTAAAAAAATGCAATGCTGACTTTTGAGAATTTCATAAACTTCATGAAATTTCATGACATTATGTTGATCCATTTGTCCCTTTCCTACTCACCACTGCCCAGTGTTTCCATTATTCTATTATTTCCTTTGTCTCTCCAGAGCTTAGCACAGTGCCTGGCACATTGAAGGCACTCAATAAATGCTTCCTGACTGACATGTTTCTAGCTAGTAACTTCTAATGTTCAAACGCTAGGTCAATTAATATGGACTGATTTTTAGCTATTTCTCCTTTTTAAAAATCAAATTATTTAGCACTGAAAAATCTAACACTAGTTTTAAAATTTTTAATTTCACAGTGATGCTGTATCCAGAATTGTCAACCCAAGGCCAGGTTCAGGATCTGATCCCTCCAGATAAATTATTCTTTTACACAAGTTCTGACAAATGGAATAGCTCCTTGGACTCCTGGGGAAGTGCCTCTCCACCCAAGGACATATAGTAATAATAACTCATTTCATATGGCACTATGGAGATTACAAACTGCTTTTCTCAAAACCACATTGTCAGGTGGGTGGTGCAAGCTCTTTTGTCCCCATTTTGTAGATGAGAAAACTAAGGCTCAGCAGAGACTTGCCCCTGATCACATGACTCATGTCGTAATAAAGATATTAACCAAAGTCTCTTGACTACTGTGCAATAGCCTGCAAGGACCTCATCTGCAAAATTAAGGGTTTTGCCTAGATTTCTCCAAATTATCTTCTAATTCTTACTACCTAAACATCTATAATTGCTTTCCCACTGTTCTGGTGCCTTCAGAAGAGGACACAGGAAGAAGGATCATAGATTGAGAGCTGGAAATGACCTTAAAGATCACCTAATCGGAACTCATTTTACAGATGAAGTCTTTGAAGTCCAGACAAATGACACGATTTGCCCAAGGTTATCCAGGTAGGAAAAACACAGAGCTAGAATTTGGATACAGGTGGTTGGACTCTAAATCCAGTGCTTCTTTTCCAGAACTACTCAGAATCCTCTCCACGAGGTTTTTTGATTTTATTTTACCCAAGACCATCAAAAAAGGAAGAACTTTACCTGCTCAAAAGCTGAGAACTTAACTATAAATTTGTAATATAGGCCATTGCCAGAAAACTAAAGGCGAAATAAAGGATTAGGCATACCTACTTTACAGTGAATAACTTACAAATGGCCTATTTTCTGATCTCCTCCCCTAACCTACTCACCTACCCCAAACCCAATGTATGTTTTCTATTTTGAAAACTGGGAGACACAGAAAAGACATTTTTCTCCTCATAACAGCAATAAACTTAGCCATTCATGATGGACAAAAGGAAAAGAACATTTCAGCATACAATGGAGATGTTATTTTCATTAGAAAGTACAAGAAAGTCACCACATGTCCTGTCCTAGAAGCAGTGTCTCATAACCTGTGGTCCAGGAGCCTGGTTTTAAAAAATATATTTTGACAATTGCATTTCAATATAATTTACTTCCTTTGTGATCATATGTACTTAATTTTATGCATTTAAAAACATTATTCTGAGAGAGTGTTCATAGGTTTCACCAGGCTGCCGAAGGGGTTAATGATAGAAAAATGGTAAAGAACTCCTGTTCTAGAGCACTGTTTCCCAGGCCAAACAATTCTACAAACCAAATTTAAACTCCCTAACAATCTGCTCTGCCCTTGGTCAATGTGAGCAAGCACTGACAACATTCTTCCTGGCTAGAGATTGGGGTGGGGGTGGGGTGGGAAGAAGAAACAAAGGAGACGAGAGGAGGCAGCAGGAAATGAGGAGGAGAAAGTAGCCTCAGTTGAAACATACAGGTTTTAAAGTAAAAAGGTTTATAGACCAATAAAAAAGACCGATGTGGAAATCCACAATGAATGCTTTGTTCCGTCCATTATGCCTACCCAGGATACCCTCAGTCCTTTCACAAGCTTTTTCAATAACTCAATGTTCTTGCTTAAAGGTATCACTTTTTTATTTTGCCTTTTAGCTCCCCCTCTACTATGATTTACTTTTTTTTAAGGTGTCATGTTTAAAAGCTTCGATGCACAAAGACTGCAATACTGAAGTGGGATGAAGAGATACAGTAACAATAACTCCCTTACCTTCTGCGCAGAGAGTCCCACTGCTGGACTAACTCGCAAAAAGTAAGAATCTTGCAGGATTCTACAATGTTAGAGGACCTTAGAGATTATCAAGCTAGGCCACCCCCTAATTTTTTATCTGAGGAAAAGGAGGTTGAGAGGTATAAGAATTTGCCAGAGTCTTCTTTTCATTGGGTATATTACTTTCCTGGTTCTGCTTGCATGGCTCTGCACTAATTCATATAATACACCTATATTTCTATGAATTCTTCCAATTCATCATACAGATAAAGGTTAAGACTAGAACCCAAGACTCCTTGTTCAGTGCAATGCTTTTCTACCACTTAAGTAGCAAGGATATACTGCACTAAGCCTGTAGGCACAGCCAGAGCAGTGTCTGGGTTATACTTCTTTCGCGTCCTTCAAAGTACTTAGTAAAATTTTAGCATGCAAGAGTTGCTCAAGAATTATCTGCTGATTTAATTATCAGTAATTTATGTCAACAGAATAGAGCTTCAGTGTAGGTAACAGAAAAACCAGAGATAGTCTGGCACCCGGAATCTGGACCTCTGCTCTGCCTGGTACCTAGACGCAGAGAGGTAGTCTATCTTTTAGATATAGACTAAGAGCTCCAGGGATTGTGGCAGATAATACACAGCTGAAAATCGGCAAATCTGTCAAAAAGAGATGGCCTAAGTAAAGAACTGGATACAAAGCCTATGCCTGTCAACATATAAATGTTATAGAATATAATTGTTCCAGAAAAATGGCAAATGTGAGGGATTCAGAGAGATATAGAATAAGTTGTATGCAGAGTGAAGCAAACAGAACCACGAAAACAATAAACATTATAATAATGAAAATGAAGAAAATGATTGAACAAAGCCTATCCTGTGTGATTATACTGAGCAATCTTGACCCCAGAGAGGAGATGAGAAAATGCATTACCCTTCTCTCTCTCCTAGAGTAGGTTCATAATGCTCAGTGTCAGATGGTTTTGTTTAATTGTCTTCTGTATTACAAAGGAAGGTCCACTTGGGGTGGAGGGGAGTGGATATGGAAATTCCAATGATGGACAAGTAAAAGGTCTCAATAAACTTTAAAAAAAAAGACTGCCTAGTTGTAAAACACCTTTTTTTACACATACTTCTCACATCTGCCTAGAAGATAGTAAACTCCATGAGCACATGACCCTTATTTGATAGCAATAGCTTACATTACACAGGCTTTTGAATTTCTCCTAGAATCCAGTGGAGATTAATCGTTGTTGAATCACAATGAAATGAACAGGCATTCTAGAAATACCTTAAAGATATATTCCATATTATAGAAATGGTTCATGATAGATTTCCCAAATAGAGAATACAAGCCCACTTTACTCATCTCAAAATATAAATGACATAGCATTGCCAGTCTAACCAGTATTTAAACTACCTTATTCCTATTCATTTTTTTACATTTACTTGAGACTTAAAAATAATTCAATTTATTTTCAAAAACATTTAAGCACCCGCAGGATCTAGAGGATACAGAGTTAAACTGAAATTGTCTCAGCCCTCAAGAAACCTACATCCTGGAAAAAGATATGTATATTGCAGCTTTTTCTGAGTTTTTAGCTCTCAGATACCCTGATCAGCTGAAGGGCTTTGGGACCTGGGGGGCAACCAGAACTGACCAAAGCAAGGGGATTTATTTAAAAAAAAAATTAGGCTTCTTTCATAACATGACTAATATGGAAATGTTTTACATGATTGCACACATACTTGTATACATACACATATACATACATATATACATACACATATATAACCTATATCAAATTGCTTACCGACTTAGGGCGGGGAAAAAGAAAACTCGGAACTCAAAATTTTATAAAAAGTAAATGTTAAAAATTATTTTTATATGTAATTGGAAAAAACAATTTTTAAAAAGAAATAAAGGTTAAAGCAATAAAATAAATACAATGTCAATAAAAACATTAAAAATATTAAAACTTTGAGTAATAGGAAAAGCAAGGTCCTGGAGAAGAGATAACAAGAACCATATCACTTCCTTCATATCAAAAAGGTGGGGGACAGAATTATATACAGTGTCATACAAGGTTTCTGTATCTGATGTTTTTGCTCAATTGTTTTCTTTCTCCCGATGGCTCAATATAGGAACTGGGGATTGGAAATGACTGTGATGTAAAGACAAATGGCAGCATCCACAAAACCTATTTTAAATGCATTTTTAAAAAGAAAACACATCCTAATAGGATGACGCTTAAATAGAGATACTTTTTTAAATTGGATGAAGACTATTAGGCGAAGTTTCTAAGCCTAGAAAATACAAGGAAATGATAGTCATGTTTCCTTTAGCTCCATCCATGGAGACTTTTTGGACATTTAAAGTAAAAGAGCTTTGAGTAGGGAGAAAGTTATACAGAACACGGACTGACTATGTAGAAGGCAACTGTGCTATCAGCCTCATGAAGGGCCTTAGCTATGGCACCTGGGGAGTAACCAGAGCTGACCAAAGCAGGGGAGCAGTGTCTTTCAAAAGTCCAGTTTCTGCTCCTTCAACACCAGATCTCAGAAGACTATAAATAACTTGGCTAAAAACAAAATCCTAAGAATTTTTTGGGGGGGGTGGGGTGGGAGAGACAGCAATTAGGCAGTGTAGGACAAGAGCTACCAGACTGATCCTGGCTTTGGATCCAGTGATCCCAGGATGAGAAGTCCATCTTCTAGGCATTTTATTAAAAGGGATGCGTCAAAAACAAAACAAAAAAAGGGACAGCTAGGTGGTACAGTGTG